AACCATGAACCCTATATCCATGTTATTTGTTCATTTGAGCTCACGATTATTTTGACTCCATTTAGACTGCTATAAAAAAACTTCAAACTAACATAGAGTAGTTAGTTACTTCATGCTAATGAATACTAGCTAGCTTATGTATACATGGTATTTTGATTCGTAGTTGACGAGTAAGATGTCAATACTATACGAATTGACCCCCCTACACTTATATATGTTTCCTAGCTGATGAATAGGATGTCAGTAATATGATATATTATTCTAACATGCATACTCCCTTTGTTCATTACATGTTTGTTATATATCATGCTTTATACAACTATAATCATGTATCTCATAATGTATGTTAGCATGCATAATAGTTATTATCTCTTACTGAGTGTTTGGATTCACCCCTCCATTTACTACTCTTTTTTTAGGTTTTTAGTTCAATTTCAGTTGCACTATCTTTAGCTATGTTCTTCCTACTACTTTTGGCCATATTCTTCAGCATGTATAGTGTCCAAATCCTTGCTTTTTTCTATAACTAACACTTTTAGCTGAAATCTTTCTAGTAGGGATCTCATAATCTTCCATACTCTTCTCGAGTCCTTTACTGTTTTCTTCTAGATTGAACTTGAAATATACAATATTAAGAAGTTTTGCATAAAACTTAATGAAAGATTCATCCTCCAACATTTTTATTTCTTCAAGTCTTAAGGTTAGCATTTATAATTTGGAGTTTTTCACTATGTTGGTTCCCTTATGGGTAACTTTAAGAATATCTCAAGCTTCATTGGTTATCTCACACATGGAGATTCTTTTAAATTTATCAGGAGACACTGCTATGAATATAGCGTTTAGGCCTTTATTATACCAATTACAATCGGTGCATTCATCTCTGAACCAATTGTTAAAGGGAGTTTTAGGCTTAGTCCATCTATACTCAACTGAGTGTTAGGTTTTTTTTTTTCTAGTGATTTGAGAAAAGCTTTTTTCACACTCCACTCATATGTCAAAAGTATATGCTGTGAGATTTTGTGTAACTCCTTAGTTGATTGGGCAATCTTACTTTGCTCCGTCGAGTGATACTCTAGATTCTTTAATGCTTCAGATTGTCTTTTTTTATATATAAATATTTATATGGTAAAGATAAGAACCTTTGATAAATATTATCTTCAAGCTTTCTAGTCTGTTACGTTCTTAACAGACTACTATTCGTGTTAAAAAAACATTTATCTAATAATTATCTTTGGACAACTTGTATTTATTTTATTTTTTTATATAAAACATATTTGAACTTCTCAAATAATTTATATAAACAAACTAGATAATTAAAAAAAAATAATGTTATACCCTATAAGATAAACTTGACTAATTCTTTATTTAATTTGGATAAAATAACAATTTAAATAAAATTATCTTTAACAATGCAAATAGTCATTCATTAATCAAAGCCAAACTTTTTGATATTGACAATCGATAACTTCTTTATAACTAGAAATTATATTAGGATCACGTTATATCACATAGGTAGGATCTTATAGTAAGTGGAAGCAATATTCAACCCATTAGCAATATTGATTCTTCAAAATGTATGTAAAGGCATGATGACTTGCTTAATCTTTTTCTTACCAACCTTTCTCTGCTTAAAAAATCATAGTACAAAATATCAACATTAATCCCCATTAAAAATAAATATCCTTCCCACTATAAAGTTTTTTTATGGTATTTGTTTTGACTATTATATCGTTTATAAGAATTTCACATATATCAAGTCTTCTTCTCCTAATGATATTTTCTCCATTAACTTTTGTTTCATAAAATTAGACTTAATGGTTATAACTTACCTAATATAAGTCTTTATGTTTTCCAAGTTTTCATTTGTAATCCTTGTACCACTAATAATTGCATCGATAACTTTACTGTGTCTTTGTTTCAAAATACTTTCATTTTTCTCAAGCCTTCCAATTTGACTCTTATATTTTATTTTAAGTCTTTAATCCACGTAACCAGGACCTATCTATCATTTCTAGATAAATATTTTTCCTTTCCGTGTATTTCTTATATCATTTTTTCTTACAATCATTTCTTACATCAAACCATGTATATTCTCACTTTAAAAGGTTCTTTAAAAGTTCTTCCCTAGTGAAGTTTTCAATTTCTTTTTTAAAGTTCTATAGTACCCAATGTCATGACTATACCATCTATAATAACCCTATTTATTTTTTCCTTTGCAAATAATTCTTGCTAGCTCTTGAATATTTTACTTATGTTCATAAGAAACATCTTTATCTGAATTATATTTAAAGAAGTTAATGATTATGCAACTACTTTCATACCTACATGTTAGGCCTATAGATCATTAATCCTTCCTACAAATTTGTCTATCACATTTTCCTTTCTTATTCTTCTTTTGATTCATTTATTCTCTTTTTTTTTTAATTTCAATTTCATATTTCCTTGGTTTCTAGTGAAACCCATCACTTCCTCAAGATGATTATATATTTTGGCTTTTTTTTCTTCTACTTGCTACGTTATTTTAGGTTCCTTCAATTCAAGAGCCTTTTTAAATTTATAACTATTTCTTATTGATAGCAATGTTAAGATCATCTTATAAAATCTTATCATTAAATCCCTCAACCCCTCCCATCTCTTCTATTATATGATCATAAACATCTTCAAATTTGTTTTTGATCTACTACTTATATCAAATGAACTAGAAATATGTTATGAAAATATTGTATAGTAAGTTGTCTACAATGGTAGATAGATTTGATATTAGTCAACTCCTATAAATTAGAAATCATTTCTAATTTGGATAAATGATTTGGTTTAGTTTCTAGTTTCATGACTTATTCTCATTTAAATAGGAACCTTATACAAACTATTTTGATTTAAGTCAATATATTGATTTCTAAATAATACCTAATATATTGATTCCTAAATAATACTTTTTATTTACATGATATCAAAGTCCAACGATTCACAGTGGTTATGGTTAAAGGTCATAAAGGATGTGTATCAAAGCTTAATTATTTCTAGTAGTTTTTCATTGTTTTGATAAATAACCATGAATAAAAAAGATTTCATAACAAAACATGCTCTTAAATGAGGGGATTAGGAGTTTCACCTACAGAAAAGGACATCTAAAAATTAATGTGTGATTTTTTTTCTATTTGTGTCAATTACTATTATTAAAAATCCTAATAGTGGGATCCAATAGGGGGTGACCCTCATAAAAGTATTGTATTAGGGACTCATAATGCGGTGACTTATACAAAGATATTATATTAGGAACTTATGATGCGATGACCCATAATTAAAAAGATATTTGTGGTTTATAAAGGTTGTTAATTGAGGTCTTAACTTAAGGATAAGTTTTTCTTTCAACTTTAGAAGATTAATGTAAGAGTTTTTTTAGAAAAATAAATATTTTTCTTGGATATTTATTTTTTTTCTAAGGTTATTGACTGAGGTCTAAACTTAATGATAAGTTTTTCTTCCAACTTTAGAAGATTAATGTAAGAGCTTTTTCAGGAAAATAAATATTTTCCTTAGATAATTTTATTTTTTTATTTTTTTTCTATTATATGTTATTGTGTTTTTCTACTTTTATTTCTCTATTTGAAGGGAATAATTTTTCTAGATTATTTTTCTTATTTAGTATTACTAGATGGCTTTTAGTTTTTCTCTATATAAAGAGTAGTGATAGCCTTTTAAAAAGTGGAGACATAAGTGAATTAAAAATAAATATTTTGGGTCTCTCTATAATCATGGTATTTTTATCGTTTGAGATTTTTAACTTATAATAAACCTCATGATGATTACACAAGATTATATTAGGTTTATTTTATATGTGAAAAATGTTAAATAGTAGCATTGTTTAAAAACTTTTACCAAATGATAGAAAGCCAATATCAGATAAGAATTAACACAATTCATTATGATAAGGGGACAAAATACTCTAATGAGTATATAGAGGATTTCTTGAAAGAAAAAGGGATCCAACATCTGTCTATATGTTATGACACTCCTCAACAAAATAGAATTTCTAAAAAAAAAATTAATATTTACTTGAATTGACTTATGCCATAATGTTTTCTATAAATATTACAAAGTATTTAAAGAGTGTAGTTATTCTAACAAAATTATATTTGATTAACAGGATGCCTACTCAAGCTTTGAAATTTCTTACACCATTAGATTGCCTAAAACATTATTTTCCCCATACATGAATAGAAATGATTTACGAATGAAAGTTTTCAATTGTACAATATTTATTCACATACCAAGCAAATTTCAATCTAAACCTAATCTTAAAGTTGAAAAATATGTTTTAGAAAAATAATAATAATACAAATGTTACAACCTCAAACAAGAGAAATTCATGCAAGTATGAATTTTTTTAATAGAAAAATCAACTTTATTGTACCAAAAATCATTTTCAAGGGGATTAAAAAACAAAAAGAAAGACGATGATTTTTAGGACATATTTGTTCCATTACCTAATATAATTATGAACAATAATATTCTCTCACCATCACAAACTAAAGAAAAGAATGTTCATGGTATAGAAACAAATGAAAATACTAGCAAATCATTATCAGGTGTAAATGTATTGCAAGCCACTCAATTCCTCAATTCTGACATAAGCTACTTATTAGATAGCTACTTATTGATCATTATCAGGTGTAAATGTATTGCAAGCCAAAGAATTTCTCAATTCTGACATAAGCTACTTATTAGATAGCTACTTATTGCATCAAATGTGATGTAATAGAATTATTTTGTTGTATCTAGACTAATATCAATTCAACCTATTTCATAAATAAAATGTGACAAATTAAACATCAAATGTACTTATTCCATCTAATATAATTATTTTGTTGTATCTAAACTAATATCAATTCAATCTATTTCATAAATAAAATGTGACAAATTAACCAACCTTCTTCCTTGGACAATGGACATCCATCCCCGGCATTGTAGAGAGAGAAAACAAATATGAACAAGGAAAATGATGGCAAGCCATGCTTTCATTTCACACTGGTATGACGCAAGCGAGCTTTAATTTTGCAAAAGGGAAATGAAAGAAGTCATTATCTCGAAGGTTAACAAACTAATTTTCTCCTATACGAAAAAAAAATAGCTAATTTGAAAGAAGATAAGATTCAGATAAGTAATAGGATATTCACAGAGCGGATGTCAACTCAGTGTGCAGCCAAATGGCATTCAGTACAAGTTCTCCGCAAAACACTTCCTAGGCTTCCAACATTGCAAAATACTATATAAATCTTTAAATTATTCTGAATTACCTATCTGACCTATCATATTTGAAAAAGATTGTCTGAATGATGACACCCGTCCTCCATACAAAAGGTGAAGTGGACTGATTGACTCGTGAGTTATGATAGCAATAGAATTTAATCACCACTTTGGATAACACTTCATCTTACACCAACAATCTGTATTCATTCTCAACATGCTTTCTTTCGCTGCATATTATAGAGCTTCGCAAGTGATTTCACTTGTTGAGGAGCACTCACCAAGAAACTCTGACCGTATGAGCATCAGCAGCCTGCCCAGATAATTTAGGCCTTCCCCTTCCCGCCCACCACCCCAAAAAAGATCATGTGGTGAAGCTTCAACAAGAACAGATCCAGCAGTTGAGAGCAGCATAGATTGCAAGTGAGGATAAATTGAGAACTTGCATTTCAATGCTCTATACATAACATCAATCTTCAAATCTTCCCAGTCAGACCTCACCTGGTTCATCACAGTATTGGCTTCGATCAGATTACCACTAGGATATACTCAAGGTATTTAATTCCAGCATGCATGTTGTTCCCAAGAAGAGTATCTTATTCTTATATTGGAAGAAAGACATGGAAATAGATGTGCAGGCATCCTATGTTAGAGCATAATGTTCATAAATAATTGCCTCTTTTTTCTACTTCTGTAGAGTTTTATAATATCAAGGTCCCAGCCTCTCCTTCCTAAAAAGATGCTGACTGCTAGAAAGTACCCAAAAAAATTTCACGGACATGAAATCACAAAATTGTTTCTTAACACTCTAGGGCAAAGAGTTTTATGTTTTAATAAGTACCATACCACTCCATTCTAGATTGCATAACCATCCAACCTACAAGTATCAATGTCTTCACGTGAACTGATCAAGGAACTTGAGTCTCCCTCATTAATAACTTCTATCATGCAATTCTAAATTATATAGTATTTAGTATATGTTTGTAGTATATGTTTGTCAATCGTTTTGCACAACTGCTGAGAGAAAGTAAGAAAAGACTTGTGAGATACTTTACTCTCGTATTTCAAGTTTACTTAAGTTGTGTCATGCTGATTCCTCCCAAGGTTCGGAGATAGTATGCAAACATAACGAAATGAGCTTCTGCCCATTACAAATAGTCATATGTCAGAAAAGGGCCCAAGTTGAATTTCTGTTCAAACTAGGAAACTCACCAGATCTGGGCGCTGCTTCTGCATTGATCTTCCCATTCGTGCTGCTTCCTCAGGGCTCTTGGCAGATTTGATCTTCTCAACACAATCCTTTGCCACAGGTTCATCCACCCCCACGAACTTGTGTGCCTAAAATTCAGAAAATAAAATAAGATATGACAGCCTTTACAGATTGACAGAGAAAACAGATTGATGTTGAAAAGTTGAGTGCCTGGTAATAGTGCTCTACGCTTGACCATGTGGCATAAGCACCACTTCCATCAGGCATTTGAATTGGATGCGGAGAAAAATTCGAAAAAGCTCCATAAGGATCCCATGTTTTATAGAAGAATATGATCCTCGATTCATAAGGGGTGATAGAAGGATCAATTGCAAAGGTTTCATCCTCTGATGGAATAACTGGTACCAAGTCCGGTACAGGCTGTAAAAATCCACTGATAAGCATGTCTGGTCCAACCTGTAGTTCAAGCATAGGAAGCATCAATGCACACATAATCAGGAGGATGAAAGACATTTTGCAAAACATGCATGCAGAGTATAGTCATGACTAGATGGAGTGCTTAAATATGCACATACTTTTAATTCCTTTCATTCTGATTCTTGAAGGCTTGTTTTCTCAATTGTAATGTCCATAGACAATTGGCTTGCTATTTTCTTTCCCATTGACATTTCAAAAATAATTGACATATAAAACAATGCAATCAAGGAAACTTTCACCAGCCAAGTAGCCATTTCAGGGAAAAGAGCATCATAATAATTGCATACTCCAGTTGATCCAAAAGGTTAGTATTCACTAATTAAATGCTTTTACATGAACAATTGTTTGTATTAAAATATTAGTTGAAGTTAGATGGGTGAAGAATTATAGCTCACTTGAAAAAATGAGGAAAAATTATTGCTTTGCCACATGCCTCATTAAACTGGATGGAAAACATTATAACATACAATGACTTCTACTAATAATCAATATACTAACAATAAACAAAAACGTTCAGCGAACTGGAGATATTTTTTATAGCTTATATTAGGTGACAAGCATATGGCACAAACAATACAAAGCTTTAAAGCCAGGTCAAGTATTTTTCATGGACAAGAGTAGAGGGCAATATTCATTTCATGACTCTTATCGCATATGAAGGTGATGCAGGAGCTTTCTTTAGAATTATTTTAATTAATTTAGGATCATGTGATTAGCATGTGACTTTTTAATTTTTTACCTTTAGAGGCCAAGTAGTTTTACTTCAGGACTAAGACTAGGAATCCTTTTAGTCTAAAGAGATATAGGCCTTAGACAAACATAAATTGGCTGCTGCTAGGTTATTCTAAAAAGAAGTTTTTGTTATTTTATCAATCTATGCAGATATTAGAGGTTTCTTATGACCCCTAAACCCTAATTATCTCGTTCCAACTTCAATTTACCCTAAATTTAGCCATTATTCTGCTGTGATTTTGTTTTCTGCTGTTTTCCTCTTCCAACACTAACTCACAAGGGTCAATTGTGTGACAAAAAGTCCCTTTCAGTATTAATTACGTCTATCTTATATTTTAACAAATCAAGCAACGATTATTCACAAAACCAAAAAAAGAGGATAAAGGGTATTCAGAATAGGATAGTGATAAAACTATCATAAACTGTCACTTTGCCTTTTGATTGGTATGCTCGTTATTAACTTAATAAGGATCTAGTCTAACACTGGATGCATTTACAATGCATGTCTGGTTCAAAGTTCGAAGTAACTTACAGAAAATAGGTTTTTTTCTTGATTTTTTTAAATATTCAAAGTACTAAGGGAACCTTTATTAGAAACCTCTGAGAAATGCCTGTGGAAACAGATATCACCCACAACCAATAGTTAACACTTTGTTCTCTATAATCCAAGCCCAGGTAACACTGCTGTTACTCATGGTCTTCTCTTCTAAGTCCAGAGGAAGAAATAATCAGCTGTTGGCCCAGAAATCAAGTGATAACCCTGTTGCTGGTTTTACCCTTGGTGTTGTTGCATCAAAGGCATCCTAAGGCTTTAGGTTTCCATGTTTAACTGAGGCAATAGGCATATACATGCACTTGACAAAGTAAAGACATTATAGTAATAGTCATTCCCTGTTCCTTGTCAAACTCTTCTTATTCCTACTATGCACATCGCAAACACATTAATCATAAAAAGCAAATTAAGAACGATGGAACTGACTTCAAATTTCTCCAACAGGTCTAAATTATGGATTAAAGCATTAAGCAGAGTATGTATCACTGCAATACAATCAATTACAAGCAAATTCTGTGAAAATATGTTCATCAATCATAAACTATCTTGGAAGCAACTAAAACTAATTATGCATAGAGAGAGAGAGAGAGAGGAATGATAGCCAACCTGCTCGAAGCAAACATCAATTAGATCCAAGGCTTGTGACATCTCAACCATTCCCAGCTCACCTACAGGAGATGGTGCATTCTTTCCACCAATAATTTTAGGAGCAACAAATGCAAAAACCTGCAATGGAGTTGTGGTAAGATAACAACATTAATGGAAATCAAATCCCTGCAGGAGTTGCAATGCAAAAGTTGGAATAATTACTTTTCTCAACACCCTTGCATGTCAATTGACAATTTTTTAGCACATACCTCTCCTCTCTCCATTATTTGGACTTTTTGAGAAAGTGGTTGGTGGACAAGAAGTTAGAACAGGAACTAGAAGCAATTATTCAACATGGTGTTAGATCAGGAAGTGTTACATTCGGACCACATTCACTACTCAAATTACCAGTATTACACACTGTGCTGATTATTGGGGGAAAGTGAGCCCATGCATAAGAGTAATTGATATAGAAGCATCTCTCAAACACGAAAACTAAACTGCTGATGTAGGTGATTGCTTAACCTGTCAAAGTTAATCAAACCAATCCAAGTTTCTATTCAAAAACTGGTCAACTAAGGCAAACAAACAATCTGCATTAAAGTTCTTGGTCCATAAAAAATACTGAAAATATGTAAGATACATTTGCATCAAGCTAGAAAAATAAAAGCTAAATTAATTAATTGATGGCACATTTAGAAGACACCCATGATTAGATAAACTAAGCCACTTTAGATTCATAAGAAATAACAGAACAAAATTTGATTGCAAATATAACAAAATAGCAAGCCTCACATAATATGGAAGTGGCTACTTATACCATTGGATTTTACAGAGGTAAAAGGGAAAAAAAAAAACTATGAACTGCTGATTGTTAGGCATTCAGCTGAAGTTGAAAGGACTTAATAACTAATGCCAGTATTCACAGAGACACATTTAAGCTGAGAGAAACCATGCTCCCCACTCTACAAAGGATTGTAAATTTTATTTTCACATTTCATAAGATAGTGTAATTGTTGAAAACTACTAAACCCATCAACACCCCTGCTCCCCCCCACCCCCCAACCAATGCTACACATTGTTTGTATATGAGGCCACACTAATTGACCATCAAACCCCCCCCCCCACCACCCACCCACC